CCCCCCACGCTCCCTGCTTGGCTCCCCAGGGCCCCCATTGACCCCGCTTGTCCCCCTTCCCCTGCAGCCCCAGGGGCCCCGAGGTCTGTAGCTGTCCTGCCACCTCAGGTTCGTCCTTCCCCGTCGGCTGCAGACGCCCAGCTGCCGTCCCGGCAGCGCCCCCTTCTGGGCGCCCCCAGGGCTCCTTCTGGAACGTTCCCCAGCTTCCGCGCCGTGTCCTTCTCGCTGCCTGGCCGGCTGGGGGCGATCGAGAGCCGGACCGCGGGCTGCGGGCGCAGGGCCTGCTGACGAGGTGGCATCGGCGCAAAGGCAGGGGTCTCAGGCGAGGGCTGACCCACCATGCAGCACCAGGATGCCCGTCCGCACCCGTCTCCAAGTCCCCGTTCCCCACCCTGCTGGGCTGGAAGAGCCAGCCTTTTCACTAGCAGCCGAATGCTTTAACCACTGCGCCACCAAAGCTCCAAGGATGGCTCCAAGGATGCTCACGGCTGTGAGGCTGGTGCAGACCTGGGCAACGTTTAGTTCCGTTGTCCAGGGTCCCACGAGGCAGGACCGAGTCCACGGCACCCAGTAACAATATAAACGGATCCCACAGTCCAAAATATGGTGCATCCTTCCACTAGTTTAAGTCCTGAACAAATTTAGTTAGGTTTATTCCAAGGAATCGATTCTTGCGTTATAGCGTAATTCTAATGAAACGTGCAGAAACCTGGAGTTAGAAAACCAAAAGGGAAGAGCATGCTTGGCACTTCTCACGCCAAAAGAACTGAAGAAAAAATGCTGCAATATTGAAGGATTCTGTGGGCCAAATCCATAGCCCACAGTCAACACCCACGGAAGCAGCCGTCAAAAGCGTCAGAAGACGTCTTGCACTGGGCAGATGTGCTGCAGCAGACCTCTTTAAAGTGCTCAAATCAAGAGCGAGAATGCTCTTTGAAAACTGAGGTGCGCCTGATCCAACCGTGGTGTTTTCAATTGTCTCATATGCATGTGAAAGCTGGACGATGAATGAGGAAGACCAGAGAAGAGTTGATGCTTTTGAGCTGTGGTGCTGGCGAAGAACTCTGAAAGCGCCGTGGATGGCTGGAAGAAGCAAATCTGACCTGGATGAAGTGCAGCCAGAATGCTCCTTAGAACCAGGAATGGCCAGACTTTGTCCCTCATACTTCGGTCGTGTCGTCAGAAGGGATCGGTCCCTGGAGAAGGAGATCATGATTGGTGAAGTGGAGGGGCAGCGAAGAAGGGGCGGACTCTTAAAGTGGATTGGAGACTCTGTGGGCAGTTCCACTCTGTCCTCTAGGGGCGCTGTGGGTCAGAATGGAGTCCAGGGCAGTGGGTGTGGTTTGGGCTTTGCTTCTGTGAAGATTGACAGCTTTGGAGACCCTGTGGGCAGTTCCACTCTGTCTCCTAGGGTCACTATGAGTTGGAATCGACTCCATGGCAGTGGGTTTGGTTTTGGGGCTCAGGGACCGCTATTAGTTTGAAAAAGGAGCTCTGGTAGCACAGTGCCTGAGGCATTTGACTGCTAACCGGAAGGTTGGTGGTTCAAACCCACCAGCCACTCCACAGAAGGAAGACTGGACAATCTACTTCCGTAAAGATTTACTGCCTCAGAAACCCACTGGGGGTTGCTCTGAGTTGGAATTGACTGTTTTTTTCTTTTTTAAATTATTGTTAGTTTGAAATGTACCCTCTCCCATATGGAGGCCAGAAGTCGGAGGTCAGAGTGTCACCGGGATGGCACT